TTAAAACAATTTTCTTTAATCAAAAAGCTTGCCTGTAGAATTTGCTTTTAGAGAATGAAAATTAACAGCTGTCATATTTCTCTTTTTTAATTTTAATACGCTTCAGTGGATTATTTCCGAGTGTTTTTTTGTAGCTTATCAGCCGGACATGCGCATGTATGCGGATCCAACGAGGACTTGGGTCACGCCGCAAAAGGGATTCGTTTTGCACGACACTCAGGAACCAAGGTACCTCAATGGGGATCATAGTCTGTGTAATAATCAAATGAGCCACCCCGGTCCGGCCAGCGTCTTTCCAGCGTCTTCGGCGCTTTTCAACCAAACACAAGCCACATCTGCTAGTCCACAACATCGTAACACTGTAAGTGTTCTTCGTGACTTTATTTTTCTTTTAAATCTCTCTTGCGTTTTTTTACACACTTATTAATGATCGTGTACACAGCGAAAATTATATTATTATTAGGTGTGGGAAAAAGTTCGTTACATCTAACGGGAAAAACGGCACGAACTTTTTCCCACACCTAATATTTCTATTACTGTACCGTTTTATCACGTTCACTCGCTCGTCACAAATTTATTTATATTTATTTATACTAAATAGCTTTTCTATATACAATGCACACACGCACGTGATTGTATCAATTTATTACGAAAGACAGAAAGACGGGCGAGATTGAATGCTGCACCCACAGCAGCGATTATTGTGTGAGTGAAAAGTTATAGCTAAACGTTCGCGATGCTTGCGCCGATCATCAGCTCGATTTGGTCACTTCAATACAAAGGATTGGCCCCGAGCGAGTACGTATATGCATGGGAACCAGTTGATGATGTAATGCACGCTTATAGATGCTTGTTCTTGATACCCAACATGGCAGACACTACCCACACTGGCCAGTCTTAGCGTCTAGACGATCGCGTTCGGCTCGGAAATTTACACCTCTAATCTTTTCTCAAGTGTTTTGTAAATTTAAATAACATGTATTTCCTCAACTCGGCCGTCGCAACATCGCGCGATTACTTTCCTAAGGTTTGCCTTGGCTGGCTCTTCATTTTTATGCATTTGCGTCTCGCTTTTAATAAATTGGGAAAGAAAATGATCATTGAATTATGTGAGAAAATAATGTTGCGACAATGGTGTCGTGATAGTGTTTTGTAGATATTTTAAATCTGTACGTCAAATACGAATTTATTCATTCTGAGTCTGAGTCTTGTGTATTTTATATTATATACACTCTCTGTTGTTAGACATAACTGACTGGGTCTTTTATCATCTCTTTTTTTAAGATTCTGCAATTTGTACGAAAGATTATATTTTATTAAAACAATAAAATATGTATTTATCTTGTTCTCTTATACGATCATATTTTGCTATCTTAGGTTCATCGAATAAGTCAGTTAATTAGTGAAAGTCCTGAACCTAAGAGATCTGTACATCACATCCCGATCTCATGTGAAAGTCCGACGGAGAAGAGGCAAGCTTTACATACTCCCGTACCAGCTCCACCTGTCGATGACATGAAGCCCCAAAATATATCTTTTATTGGTAATGAAACTTTGTTTTATAATTCTTTTGCGAGTATATAAAAATATCACTTTTGATACATGTTTTTTAAATTATATTAATGTAAAAGAAGTTGTAAAAAATCATTAGCATCTTTTCTTAATCTCTTCTTTTTATTTCGAAGGCAACGACGATGATATCGCACAGGGTATTCGCGGCTTGAACATCACGTCGGGTAGTCGTACGTACAGAATACCATCGCCAACTAGACCCACGATATCGCAGAATTCTTTCCAACCTCATCCGTCATTGAGGGAGACATCGCGTTCAGTCACTCCGGATATTACGCCTCTCGATTCCACGGATCCGAACGAGAAAGGATTCTATATTTCCTTCGACAATGACGCTCCTAAGAAACCAAAACCGACACTCAGAGTGAAAAGAACGTCTCCTAAAAAGGTGAGTAGATTTTTAGTTATAAATGAATTTTCTTAATTTTACTCTAATTATTTTATTATATTTCTCTCTTTGTTTTATATTCATTTATTCTAATAGAATTTTACTATGTGTACATTCTTAAAAAGGAAGCAATTATTAAATAAACAACATTTTTTTCTTAAGGAACGAAGTGTGTCATCCTATATTGAACACGAAGACTTTACAATGCACTCAGAATCATCTCCTGCTATCGCGATAGAAAAGCAGAAACAAGTAGAAACTCAGCGAGAGTTGGAGCGGGAAAGATTTCGGCAAGCCGACGAAAGGGAACAGCAAAGACAAGAAATGAGGGACAGAGATCTTAAACGGGAAATGGAGAGGGAACGACAGAGGGAGAAACAGCGAGACAGTAGCACAGACAGCCGACACGCTTCTGGCGTTGGTCTGGTAATTGGGAATCAACTTACAAATCCCGATCCGGTATATATTATAATAATATTTACTAATCAAATAACAATAAATTCTATATATAGTTACACATTTGTTTCTTTTGATTTTAGTTTTGTTTACTAAATTTTAATATATACATGTTTTAATTAAAATTCTTTATAGAATTGTATGGACGAAATGGAGAAGAAGAAGGAGAGGATAATGCTGATGTCGCTTCAGAGAAGACAAAGGCAGGAAGAAATGAAGGAAAGAAAGGAAATTGAGGCCCAAGCACGTAGGGAACAAGAGAAACTGAAGGTGGAGGAGAGAGCTCGCAAGAAAGAGGAGGAACGTCAACGGCGAGCCGCTATTTTGGAACACCATAAGGTGAAGAAAGCGATAGAGGAGGCAGAAAGAGAAGTAAGTATATTTTTAATGATATTAAATTAACAGGAATAAATTTATAATGTAATTTTTATCGCTGTTTTTAGGGTAAGGTAATTGATAAGGAGCTTCTGAATGCAATAAATCCAGCAAAATTACGTAACAAGACTGCAACCGCACGACCGCGGCCCAAAACAATTCACGGAGACGCTGGCGCAGTGTTGGATTCCGGGGCTCTTACACCTAGTCGCGGGAAGAAAGGTTCTTCTTCCAATTTAAGTACAGGTGAGATTGCCATTAAATTGCACTTGCAGAAAACGAATTATCTATTGTAACGATCAATTCTTGGAGATTAAGTATGTTGGCAGCTTGTAAAATAAGATTAATATATTGATTTAATATATAGATTTGAGAAAAAGAAAAAATAATATAAACATATTCTCCGAGGAAGAAAAATTAAATTTCTATTTTCGCCAATTAATCGCCAAGAAGATGGATCTTTTTACTACTTGTTGTGTCGCAAGTGCATTTTCCCGTTATAATACCCTATAATAGCAATAGTTTCCTTGATGTTGTAATTTGCATTTATTCATTGCATGGTGAAGATTTTTACGATCAAAGCCGTTTTCTCTTTCGTCGTAGCGATATTATTCTTGCTGTATTTTTTTTTTCCATTACAATTGATTTCTTCTTTTATGAATTTTCACCCCGACCACATGCTCACGAGCTCCAGATTTTCTCGTCTATGCTAGTTTATCGCCGCGTCAGTGGCTACTGTAAATTGCTCGATGAGCCCGCAATCGCGCGATATCGACATCAAACTAGAATAGTACAGAAAATACCGAGCCGATTGTTTTGCACTAACACACTTACTGTAGCGTCGCTGACCTCTCCGACGATGAGGCGAGACTACTACCGAGGTTCGCAGGATAGTCTCACGGCTGCTCACCTTGATGACCGACGTTGTTCCGGCCCTCTTTATCGGGGCGGCAGTCTCAGGGGTATGCACCACACACACTCTCTCACCGCGCTTTTACAGTACACATCTACAAATATTTTCTTAAAAAGTCTGGATACGTAAAAATATCTACGCGATAAATTATCTAATTAATTTTTTGTACACGACAAAAGAAAGAGTAACGATACATTAATACTTTGTCAATTGATTTAAACTTGAAATAAAATATTGTGCAGTAAGATTATACAGATCAAGAAAATTGAAACATGCTAATTCAAATTTAACAATAATAATGGCAATTAATTCTCTAAAGATATGAATCTTTTATATGAGGAGAGAAATTAATTTTAAGGAATAAATGTGTATAATTGATAAAATAAGATATCTGTGTAATTCACAATATGTTTTTTCAAACAAAATTTATTTCACTGCACTTCTTTCCGTTTTTCAATTTGGCATGCTTTGTACTTTATTTATCAATATCTGTAACTCGATGTATAATTCGTAGCAAACTGAGAATTATTTGATATATCTATATATTTATAAGTAGTGTAAAACCTGCAGTGAGAATTTAAACTGATTGTAATAGAGATACCCCGTTTTTTTAGTATCTTCCGTAGATTCGCCCGACGACGGTAGGGGTTCTTCGCCTTGTCGCAGTGTGAATCAGCTCGGTCGACGCGGCTCCTACAAGACCTCCAGAGGTGGGTTCGATGTTACTTACAGTTTAGCGCGGGAATGCCGCAGACTCTGTGATTGTTTGTTTCTTAAACGTTTGGCTTGACGAAAGTAGATTCATTGCAGGATGTTATCACACACTGGTATGGGCAGCTATAATCTATCAGAAATTTGCGCGATGAATGTTTGAATAATTCATTAGCCTTTGATTATCCCCTACGAGCGACTGAGCAAGGTCACTTTGCGGGTATGATTGTTTCCCCGTTGTTTTTTTTAAATTTTTTTCAATTTTTGTCTTTAAGTAGCGCCTTGTAGTGGACATCTTTCAGTTGGAACGCAACGTTGTTCTGCACAAAAACTGCACTGGCCACTTCAGTTCTCGATGTACCCCCGGATATGGCTAATAGTTAGATTCAGTCCTCCTTTTTTAAGTTCCTACAAACCTTACCCGCGCCCGCTCGCTCCCTCAATGAGATGTGCACGATTGAGGCATCTCTCCCGCAACTTATTTAATCTCTTTGATCGTACATGGCGTTTTGAGTGTAACAAGGCAAACGTTGCGTTATTGCAGATGTGCAGGAGTCTCAGCAACAAGTTAGAGGCAGGCCTAAATACCAGACTTACCAAAACTTTAAGGGGAGAAAGTCTAATTCCCTGATGAATTTGTGCGGTAAGAAGCACCACAGTGACTTGGAAATACGTTCGATCTCCCTTCTATATCGTGCAACAGTCTCAATGTATCCCGTGTATATATATATATATATATATTACAATGTGTATATCACAACGTCCTGAGATTTTTGTAGACCGAGTAGCACACATACACGCGCACTTACACTCACATTTACGTAGTAGCATGGTGGCAGGCTGGAGAGCACACAAGTGGCAGTACAGGTACTTAACGACTCATACATTCGCACAACAATCATATGCATTTTTCCTTTTTTGTTATACGTTTGAGCAAAGTTCCTCCACCACGGCTTGACGATGAAGTGATGGAGTCTTAATTCTTTCGTGCTTTTTAAGCGATGCACGATTTATGATTTCTTCGTTTCATCGAATGCCTCCGTTGAGGTGGAACTTTGTCCTCTCATTTTCTTAGGACAACTCATTTTCGCTGTTGTTGCTGTTGCGTAGAGAAGGCTCGATTGAAGCTTATTTAGGCTTGTTGTTGTACGGCACTGGGTGTGGGTACAAAGTATATTTTGTCGATCGATGTCTTTTTCCAGATTTATTCTGTCGGTGGCTATGGTATCCGTTTAACTCTGTTCACCCTGTGTACTTAAGTATCCTGATTTATCCTATCTCGCCTCGAATATCTCACTCTGCGTATCACAGTGTCCTCTTATTGTTTTTATTTTCAGGTATTGTGGTGACAAGGTATAGCAAATTCATTGTGATGTATAATCGAGATTCATGCATTCGATGTGGATGAATTTGCTATGTCCTATTATTTAATGTCAATAATCGATCGAGCGTGTTTCGTCGCAAACTGCAGAGCTGGATTAAATTGTGATATTCGTGGATTAAATCGTTGGTATTAAGCTAAGCATAAATCATCGCATTAGCATTGATCAAGAGATTCATAGTTTTGATAACAATTAGTACGCTAGAAAATCATGACATTAGAATCATTCTAGTGCAGTCAACGATTTAACAAGCTGATAGACACAAGCATTTATAATTATTTTATCAAACTATAAAGTACATTACAAATATTTTGAAATATTTTTCATAATAAACTTTTCATAATAAAACACAAATTACGAAGCTAAACTTAAAGCAAGGGCGGTATCTCGCACATGTCTATAACAACATCGCGAACATGTGAGGGATCATTATAACAAGTGACTAATACATTCTTGGCGGGGTGGCTAACCATCATTAATAATAAAACCAAAAAAAGATTTCTGTGTATTCTGATTCGCTTGGGTAATAAAAGGAAAAAAATATACATTTGTCTTCATTCTTTAATAAGAATGTAACGCATAGACGTTTGCCTCTCCATTGAGATTTTCATTTTTATATGCGGAGCGTGCAAGTAGTGATCAAGATTGTATGATGTGTCGACAAATAGATTCAGATAGCGGCCTGGGCAGGTCGACGCCTCCGAGACGCGCCGCCAGTCCGGGCATAGGCAGTATGAGGCACCTAACGTCACCTTCGGGACCCGGTTCGCTGCCACCCGCCTTGATGACGTCGAAGAAGAGGATCTATGACGATGGCAGCAGCGACATCAGTAGCACGCCCAGTTCTATGATGGACTATAATGGTAAGAAGCATCAATAAATATATATCGATTCTGAAGAGAAAAAATGTACTCGATAATCGCTACATTTTTTTAACACAAAAGAAAAAGTTAAGGAACTTTATGCCTCCACTAAAACAGGCCCGAGACTGTATAAACTGCCGATAGCCAAGTCAAATCGCAACATAATGTTGAACGCTGTGGAGTACTGTGTCTTCCCCGGTACGGTGAACAGGGAAGCCAAATCGAGAGTTCTGGAGGAGATAAGCCGGTCTGAGAGCAAACACTTTCTCATTCTGTTTCGAGACGCTGGCTGCCAATTTCGCGCTCTCTATTCGTACTGTCCCGAGAGGGAGGAAGTAGCCAAGCTATACGGTACTGGGCCCAAACAAGTCATCGATAATATGTTCGACAAGTTTTTTAAGTAAGTGAAATCAAGAGTCGATTCCTTAAGTTCGTTCTTTTCTGTCTCAAAGACTTCAATCAATTATGTGTTTCTATTTTAAATTTCTTGATGTTACATGTTGTTAATTACTTTTGTTTTTTCATTTCAGATATAATTCCAGCGGAAAATGCTTTTCTCAAGTTCACACGAAGCATCTGACGGTGACCATAGATGCCTTTACGATACACAACAGCCTCTGGCAAGGTAAAAAGGTGAACTTACCGAACAAGAAGGACATACCACTCGTCATATAGTTTTACATAAGTGATCACACACTTAACATTACGCTACTGTGCCCTCTGTTGTTCATAGTTACTATTTTAATACAGGCCCATATTAAATTAATGCGAATACGTTGCGTTTTTAGTCAATTTTATAAGGACAATTGATCGATGCTGACCCCATAAAGAAATAATTACAGTTGGCGCGCGAGCCCCGCGTTTCTCGAATCGCACGCCGCTTCCGAAGGGGTGGAAAAACCAGGGGAACGTAGTCATATACCATAAAGAATGAGTTTTGTTTTACTTTTTCTTGCATTATCCGTTTTTTTTTTGTTGATCGTCAGCATCAATCACTGTGTCATAAGATTACCAATATCTACTTATAAGATGGTTTGTTGTCAATACATCCCTAAGATCCCTTAATTTTGTGGATTAACTCTCGTCATGTAACCGCCTTTTGTAATTGTGTAAATCGGTGTGTTGCAACTGCATGGACGTACGAGATTCTCATGGATACATATAATGTGAAAATTTTTCTAAATTTATTTTGCCAAACGAAGCGAGAGTTAGAGAGGATGGCAACGGTGCAGCTTGTGTTCTTATGTGTGCGTACATGCGTAATTTACGATTGACACAAGTCTTTCTGCATCCTTCGCTAGGCTAAAGATTCTAAATTCAATGATTATTATCTAGTGCATTTGAAACTTTTTAAAGAATATATTAAAGTATGATAAAACGCGCGAACATGTGAGGGATCATTAATTTTTAGATGTGTCTCATGCGCAAATCGCTGACTTTGAATTTATTTTTATTTTCTGTATAATAGTATACTATGTAACCTTGTAAAAAAGATTCTCTTTTTTTATATCAATTTCCTTTTTTAATCGGGAAGAATGTTGTTCTTTTTTTATATGTATGCTCTTTATATTTTACCGATTGGGATACGTGTCGGCAGAATATTCGATGCGGCTCAAACGGAGTTGAATTAATGATTTCTCATTCTGCGTACGTTTCTCGCGACTGTTAACGATTGTAATGCGTAGCAATTCTTGCAGTGTCATCCTCATTCCCCTTTTCTCCGCGGGGGATGAAACTTTTGCCATCGGGGTGACAACGGATATGAACAACGACAGCTCGTGTAAATAAATCAGTTCGTTGCGAAATTAGCAGAATCAAGTATAAGACCAGCCTTACAATAAATCCAGGCATATGATGCATTCGTTTCTTTGCGACGAAAGTCAATCGTTCGAGCTACATTATGCGTTTCAAGTTTATACTGTAAAAAAAAAAGTGCGAGATATGCGCGTGCATTAGTTTACGCCGAAGCAGCTGTTTTAAAGCGAGCGATGTGTTTCGTCAGATTAGGTAGTTATCATTGTGTACAAAAAGTGGATATTGCATAAGTATCGTTGGACAAATTTCGTCGAAGGGCTGACGAGAAAGGGAGATCCTCGCGGTACTTCTTTTTTTTCCTCCCATGCGCATCAATCTTTATTATGTAAGAGGAAGGTGGAAGATGGGAATAGTCTAAACAATTTTATCAATGGAACCGCGCTTTTTTCCGAACGAAACTTCGTTATTCAAAGTTCTCCAATTATATTCTACCTTCCTCGGAAGCAAAGAAAAATAGTATGAAGCTTTATGTTATGAACGATGTAATTGGACTAAGTGCGTAAAAATATTTAATGAATTGACAGCATGACTTTTTTTCAACCGTGTCTCGTACATTACGTTCCCCCTAGGAATTTATCGGCAATCGCGACACATCCCGCCGTTTCTCAGCGAAACTTTAGTCAGTCCGGGCGAACAGAGAACGCGGCGGTCCGTAATTAATCGGAGAAACTGTTATAATTTATTGTGCCATAAATTCGATGTTCGCTTTTCGCGTGGGACTGGCATTGGCTTCCTATCTCGCTGAATGGGCCTTTTCGGTCGGATACGTTTCTTTCATTATAATATTATAAGAGGGGAGAAGAAGTTAGAGATAGGTAAACTTTATGTAGCTATTTTATACGACAATATTGGGGGTCTATCATTTGTATGATTATTTTCTCTCGGATTCCGTTCACGATGACGACGCGTCTCCAGGATCGTTCTTCAATTATTTTATATAAGTCTTCGATTCGGTGCGGACAGTCGTGTCGAGATATAGGTAGACCCTCCGTATTTCGCGACACGGAAACACAAGATTATTCCGCAAACACAAGATTATTAACGATACAATTACAAATATAATGCGACATATCGAAATCGAGTTCTCTGCTGAAACTGTGGAGGAATAATCTATGTATCTTCAATTTGCGTGGGACGTCAGCTTGACCTCGCCGTCCCGCGTTTCGCCGTTCGACCATGTATAATGAAAGGGACTCGTGAGATAAACTCCGTCGAGATTATAGTAATCGAGAGAGAGAAAGAAATTTACTATTCTATATCCCCGTCTGTTGTAAATTTATCCGAGTACGATGAGAGAAAAAGAGCGATAAGATAGAGAATCTTAGATTCAGAAACAGTCCGACCTGACAATATCGAACGTGAGGTACGCGCCATAGAAGAAAGAAATTATGAAACCTTTGAAATAAGGTGCAAGTTGCAGTAAGTTCATGATGACAATGTTTGAGAAGAGAGTGAAGAAAGAGAGAAAGAAATATATATGAATTGATTGCAATTAATATATATAAATATATACATAGTCATTAATCTTAAGAGCCAGCGAGAATAATGGCTTGTGGAAATGGGATTGATTACAAAGTTATGAGAGATCTCTCGATATTGGTCGCTTATGCTTGATATTTATATTTTTTGAAGAATAGATATTATTAGTGAACTGGTGAAAAAAAAAGATTTGGATGCGACAATTAAATGTGGACAAAACGGAATGGATCGAGACGGGAAGAAAGAGAGACGGGAAATCGAGGTATACACACATACACACACATACCCAATTAAATACTGCGGCACGACGTAAATTTGTACGCCGCAGTTAAATCGCGCTTACTAATAATAATAAACGATTATTGTTACGTAATAATTATCGATTTTTATTGTCGCTGAAATTTCGACGTCAAGGCGAATATCAGTTCTCGAACTTCTATCCGTGTCTCTGTAAATATTATGTTTTTATATACACATAAAACGAAAAAAACGTATACCTACCTACTCGACGATATGTATATTTATTCAGTACGTCATGTAAGATTTGGGTCATAATTTACTGTTAGCATCTTCGCAGCGAATGTCATTAATAAAATTTAATAACCCATTTGTAATAGACTTTTATTCTTCCGCGGATGGATATCAAAAATAATCCATCATTGATCGTACCTTAATGGCACATTCTTTAAAAGATCTGGCTTTTTTTCTTGACGAGAATTTTCTTGACTTCAATTTTTAATATAAAACATCTCGAAATGAAGATTTTACTCGATAAATAAAAATAAGATTTTCTTAATTCTCTAGAACTCTTCAATTTTTTGTGTTCAATATTTGTCCTCTGTTTTGGAGGAAAATTGCATTGTGAAATTTCATAAAGCTGCGTTTCTGAGGTATTTTATAGGGATCTTAAGAGTGTTAAAAAGGATAAATCAAAGCGGCACAACCCTATGCGCTTTTTTTTCTTGTTATATATTTTATACATAACAGCGGATTTTCGTAATTTGTTAATTTTCCTTGTGTATATGTAATATATTACAGTTTAACAAAAGTCGTGTGCGTGTGTTATGTATGAGAGAGAAAATTAGACATAAATATTCTTCGAACATCATCTCTCTGTGTGCGTGATTAAAGGACACTTCTTTTTTACAGGGCACTTGCATGTTTCTCGATAAATCTTTCGAATAAAAAAATCTACAATGTACATAATATATCGGGCTCTAGTAGATGTCTAACTATAAAAGTACAAAACGTAATCGCGTTATTTTCTATTCCCTAACTCGTCGACGCAGCGATCACAAATTCTCGTAATCGGATTTACGTTAACGATAATAAATAATGGCTTTTAAATACTGATGTACAAATTGTTTGCGGCTTACGATGAATAATTAAACTATATGGCAGTGGTCTCGCTATTTACGCGTAAAATGTCACCGTCTGCACGCGTACCTGCGTACGACGAAATTATTCGTGCCATCGTTTGTTTGTCACGGCGAGACTGAAGCGTACGGTCTCTATTTCTCTTTTCCTTTTTCTATTTTCATGCTACGACGATTAGCTTAACGGTCTACGGTTTAGCATCTTTTGGCTTTGTTAAGTCTTAAAGAACTCGTCGCTTGCGAATATATGGCACGTTAATCTCGATGCGATTGTTGAACTCAACGCGACTCTTCGAACAGTCTTTGGAACTAAAAGCGCTGAACGCCGAGGTAATTGTCTTTCCTCTTCACGCCCCGCTATCATTGAACCGGGCAGGAGCTCAGGTGGATGTTGTGCAACTCGGCCATATCCGTCCAGTCTCGCCTTTCCCCTCTTATCATCACATTCCTGATGCATCCATTGAAGTGATCTCGCGTTAACAGCGAGCCTTTCTGAGCAGTCGCTGGAAATGATGAGAACAGAATTAAGCTTCTTTTATGTTCCATTTATCATGCAGGCTTATTTACATACCAATGTGTAATTTAACGCAACATTCATTTACCTGGTATACCACCTATGTACAACGGGCCAGAGAAGACAGAGGTATTTAAATGATAATTAATGTTCGTGGGCAAGCCGTATTTTTGGTCCAGCTCGTCCACCTTGAGCGCGAGTTCTTCGTCGTTATATACAGCCTGGATCCTATGCCATCGATTGTCACAGATCGCATAATGATTAGAAAAGCCCTGCTCTACATATAACGGATTGTTGTCGCCCAGATCGCCCGACATAATCACCTTCCCACTATTAAGTTCTAATGACAGAGAAGGTGAACCATTAGGTGCGGTAATCGACAGCAACACACCAGACACTTCCGATGTTCTGAATTCCAATTGAAGTTCGAGCACGCCATCAACCTCGAAGTTGTTTCCTAAAAGAATATAAAATTGTTACTCCGAAGATTTAAAACGAAGTAAGAAAAAATTCAAGTATATTTCTTAGTATTGAAATGAATCTTATTTTATAATTTTAGTTTGTATCTTTTGCATAGTTAATTTTTTTTTAAGATGCCATTATATTTTATAGTGAAGAAGTTATATTATTATTAAAAAATTTTAATTTAAGAAATTAAAATTTGATATGATTTGAATTTTTGAATCGTTTATTTTACGTTCAAGATTTAGGCATTTCTCCTTAAGTTTCTCTTAATTTTACTAATAGTGACTCACGATAAATAGCATAAGCCTCGCCCTGAAAATACGCTCCGCTCTCGACACTTGGGAAGCACTGACCGACATTGAAGGCTCTACTGGTGGAACCCACCATGTCGTAAACATTTCCATTGATCTTCAGGCCTCTGATACATCCCTTCAATGTCTCCAGTCTGACGACCACTTGTTCCGGGATAGGCGTTCCGCTTTCCGGAAGACCACCGATATACATCATGGATGCGAGACCAATTCTTCTCGGTACTTTGATGATGCGCGGTGTCTGAGTGTCTACTAACAGGGTGAGTTTCCTTTCTTCATGACTGATAACGACGTGATGCCAATTACCATCATTAAATGGTGTCTTAAATAGTATTTCTTTCCTTTGTTTGCTTCTCACTACCAAAAGAAGCTGTCCATCTCGGATGAGTACCATTAAATAGTGTTTCAATCGAAGGCCCTATGCATTTGTAATAAAAGTGGTAATATTATAAAGTTATAACTAAAAAAAGT